TCCCCCTTCCTGCAACACATGGACTGCAGCATGCCAGGCCTCCCTGTCCTTCACTATCTCCTAGAGTTTGCTCAAGCTGTTGTCCATTGAGTCAGTGATGCCATTCCACTATCTTGTCCTCTGTGGTCCCCATCTCCTCCTGCCCTCAATCTATATTTTATGTAACAATTGTCTCAACGCTGCAATCTCATCCTTGTCCTGAAGGCTGTATATCATGGGATTTAACTCCGGAGTCCCTCTGGTGTAGAACAAGGAGAGCAGTCTGTCACTTCCTGCAGAGTGAATGGATCTGGGCCTTAAGTAGGTAATGGCAGCAGATACAAAGAATAAAAGCACAACAGGCGAGAAGAACACGTGGAGAAGGCTTTGTCGGCTGTTGGCAGTCTCAGAATGGTGCGATGATTTTACTGTAAGAGGCAAGTATGAACATAAAGGGCACTGCAGCAACCAGCAGAACTGCTACATAGACCGACAGCTCATGTGCAAAAGTGTGTCCGCAGACCAGCTTCGGAATGGGGGGTACGTCACAGAAGTAGTGGATTATCTGGTTCGAATGACAGAAATGCAGAGTGAAGATCCAACACGTTTGCCCTATCTGCACTGGGATTCCACTGACCCAGGAGCCCACAGCCAGCTGGAGGCACGTCTTTGGGGTCATGACCAGGGGATAGTGCAGAGGGTCACAGATGGCCACAGAGCGGTCATAGGCCATCACTGCCAGAAGGAAGCACTCGGTAGCTGCCAGTACAAGGAAGAAGCACATTTGGGCAGCACAGGCCAGCACAGAAATGGTCCTGTCCTGAGTCCAAAGGTTCACCAGAATCCTAGGGAGAGTGACAGACACGTAACAGATTTCCAAGGAGGAAAAATTTGCCAGGAAAAAATACATGGGTTTCTGCAGAGCTGGGTCAATCCAAGTTATTATTATTAAGAGGCCATTTGCAATTAAAATAATGGTGTAAGTGATGGTGAACACCCCAAATAATNTGATCTGAGCCACAGTCAGCTCCCAGTCTTGTTTTTGCTGACTGTACAGAGCTTCTCCATCTTTGGCTGCAAAGAATATAATCAATCTGATTTTGGTGTCGACCATCTGGTGATGTCCATGGGTAGAGTCTTCTCTTGTGTCGTTGGAAGAGGGTGTTTGCTATGACCAGTGTGTTCTCTTGGAAGAACTCTATTAGCCTTTGCCCTGCTTCATTTTGTACTCCAAGGTCAAATTTGCCTCTTACTCCAGGTGTTTCTTGACTTCCTGCTTTTTTGCATTTCAGTCCCCTATAATGAAAAGGACATCTTTTTTGGGGTGTTAGTTCTAGAAGATCTTGTAGTTCTTCATAGACCCATTCAACTTCAGCTTCTTCAGCATTACTGGTTGGGGCATAGACTTGGATTACCGTGATATTGAATGGTTTGCCTTGGAAATGAACAGAGATAATTATGTCATTTTTGAGATTGCATCCAAGTACTGCATTTCAGACTCTTTGGTTGACTATGATGGCTACTCCATTTCTTCTAGATATTCAGTGGTTTGCTAATGTTTACATATACTTTCAGTATGGAAATCCAATATATGAGGCAGTTATTAATTGATTCTCTGTTTTGTCAAGTATGTTGGCTCTCACAGAATAATGACCCTCAAAGACACATTTTATAAGGAAGGTTGAGTGCCAAAGAATTGATGCTTTTGAACTGTGGTGTTGGAGAAGACTCTTGAGAGTACCTTGGACTGCAAGAAGATCAAACCAGTCAATCCTAAAGGAAATCAATCCTGAATATTCATTGGAGGGACTGATGCTGAAGCTAAAGCTCCAATACTTTGACCACTGATGCAAAGAGCCGACTCTTTAGAAGAGACCCTGATGCTGGGAAAGACTGAAGGCAGGAGGACAAGGGGATGACAGAGTTCAAGATGGTTGGGTAGCATCACCAATGCTATGGACATGAGTTTGAATAAGCTCTGGGAGGTGGTGAAGGACAGGGAAACTTGGCATGCTGTAGTCCATGGGCTCACAAAGAGTCGGACAGGACTGAGCGACTGAAGAGCAACAACAACATGCCTATATGTGACAACCTTGTGTGTGCATGCTAAGTCATTTCAGTGGTGTCTGCTTGTGCCACCGTATGGACTGTCGACAGCCAGGCTCCTCTATCCATGGGATTCTCCTGGCAAGAATACTGGAATGGGTTGCCATGCCCTTCTCCAAGCTATCATCCCAATCCAGGGATCAAACCCACGTCTCCTGCAGCCCCTGCACTTCAGTCTGATTTTTTTACCACTGAGGCACTGGGGAAGGCCGTATATGACAACCTTAATCATTCCAGACATAATTAGTTCAATGAATTCACCTAGAAAAGTTCACATCTGAGTTATTGCATGCACACACACAAACTCTTTTTATCTATGTATCTATCATCTATCCAAATGCTTTAAACACAAAATATAAATGTACATATATAAATATGTATATTTTTTGTGTGTAAAGCTTATTATGGAAAATCTCAACCATCTTCCTTTTTGAAATTTCAACATCATCTCTCTAAAAGTTTATTTCATAATTTATATATTTTTTCAACTCTTCCCTTAGACCATATGTTCACCTTCTCTTTATCTTCCAATTCTATTATTCTATTTCTGTATATGTTCTCTGTACTAATTATATGATAGTGAAATAAGCTTACATGCTTTCATGTCACAGCTAAAGAAATAGTTTATCGATATAAAGGTTACATATAGCAAAACACTATTCCAAGAAACAATTATACATATGATACCTATATAAATATAAATATACAGCTATCTTTAAAAAAAGGAAAGAAAGAGATGTCTACCATTATTCCCTGAACTTTCTTTTCCAGCAAAGAATCCATAGCTATTAATACAATCCAGATGCACAATGAAGACATATTCACTTTTCACTTTCCCTGAATCAGGCTATTAATCTTGGAAAGATTTTGCACATATTATTGACCTTCCCATCCTTTGTTGTCAGTTGACTTCAGTCCACAAAAGCAATATTATCCTAAAGTACACACACACACAGACAAGCATGTATACCTATGTAAATGAATATCTGTTTTCGTGTTTCTAAATAATAAAACTGTGTTTGCTTATTTTCTCAGGATTATAGGTGACATGTTCCAGGAATAGTACAATGCAAAGTAGTAACAAAAGATTATGTTGCTAATAAAGATATTTGTAATTTACAAAGCATTGGTAGTATTTACACACGTTCATTGTGTTTTGAAAACAAGTGATACAGATTTTTGGCAAGCTATTACCACTGAATGGGGTAACTAGTTTAGATATGGTTTGTTAGTTGCCAAGACAAAGTGAAAACTGAAGCTGTCCACTGACATTTTTAGCTTGTGAAACTTCAGTATTTATCCAAAAAAGTCATAATGCTCCAAGATATCACTCTTATTTGCCATTCTCTATAAAAAGAGAGAGATCCAATCACATCTGATCGATATATTAGTATTTTTAAATGTTGCTCCCCCATTAGTTATCTCTTTTCTCTAAAAAAGGGTTTGTTTTTTTTTTAATTAGGCAGGAAGGAGAGAAAAAAGAGAGGATTTCTTAATTTCTGTCTCAATCTTTTCAACATATAATAGTTTCAGGATTTATCCAACTTCTGCCTAGAAATGTTCCTGGAATTCTGGTGTTGCTGTTATTAAATTTCTCTTTCTTTTAACCTCCCCTGTATTCAGTCATTTCCATTAGATTTCAGTAGGTTATGATAGCCGTATTATCTGCGAATCGTGGTGATTTATTTTTTACTTGGTTCTCAATAAGAGTCAGTTTTTCCTTCTTCACTTTATTATCAGAATTAGTCACATTTCATCTGGTTGTTTTCTCCCAGGGAGAAAGTGTTACTGAACCTCCCTATCCATGTGGAAGTAGCCAGCGCCACATAAATGTGAACAGAACTGGCATATATTTTTATGGGAACAAACTTTAAGAGCAACGGTTCAAGCTTCATCATACTTTTTAACTTTGAGTAATGGCGACAGGTCATATTCCGCAATGATCTATTTCCTGTCTATATGAAGGATTATAATATATACATGGAATTTTGAAAAATATGTAACTACAGAATAGTACACATGACTAATAATTGCAATTTTCCTTGTCCAGAATGAATACAAATGTATTGCTTGTTATTTTGATTACCTGAATAGCATAAGTTTATTGTAATAAGTTTCACAATTTCAATAAAACAAAGGGAAACATAGAATCATTTACTCTGTGATTTCCATAATTAACAATGGTGATTATTTTTGTATTGACCATTTTTAATATGTGTATGTATATAAGGTTTAAGGTGTACAATACTTGTGCTTTTATAGCAGATACTTACATTTACAAAAGTTTAAATCCTTTCCCTTTTACCCTAACTTTCTTATCACTACTATCATCTCTAGAAAAATATATTATATGACTTGTAAATATTCCTATCACTTTTTCCAAGCTCATCTTATTGTATGTAAAGACTTCAATAATATCTTTTGTTTTATCAACTCAACAAATCATATTATGGATTTAATCTGATATACACATAAATGATGCCTAATAATTACTAATATCATTGTACAGCATAGTTTATTAAACTACATTCCCAATGAGAGGTACTTTTCACTCTAAGAAATTATTTCTCTGTAGAATAATTGCTAGGCCAGACTATACATAACATTTTAATTAATGTCCATTACTGACTTGGTTTTAAAAATTTCTCTGACAACTCTATGTAACTGAATAATATGCTTTCCAATAAGTGATATAACTGAGTCTGTATTACAACTGGGCCTCTTATAGCAGTTCTTGTCTAAAGCTCTTACTACAAAAGAACATTTCCCAATAAGGTTATAGAATTCCCAAGCAAATGATTTGCTATTTGTTGACCCATACACAACTGTATAACTGGAGACAGAAAGGTTTCTCAGTGTTACAAATAATTTTTATTTTGGTAATAACTACCACTTTATAGACAGATAAATTGAGTTTAAGATAAATATCTGTTGAAAATTTGTAACACATATATAAGAAATCAAGTTCTGAAATACAAGTCACTTTTTCAATGATCTAAGGTGTTTACCTGGCCATTTTCTCAGGGCCATCATGACATCCTTGTTCCTTAGACTGTATATCATGGGGTTAAACACAGGCGTCACAATCGTGTAGAAGAGGGAAAGTACTTTGTCAGTTCCTGCTGAGCCTTGCGTCTTGGGTCTTAAATATGTGACAATGGCTGATCCGAAGAACAATGCCACAACCATAAGATGAGATGAGCAGGTGGAAAAGGCTTTGCCCCGACTTGTGGCTGATGGTAATTTAAGGATTGTGGAGATGATTTTGCTGTAGGAGACAAGTATCAACAGAAATGGAATCAAAACAATCAGTGCAGCAACTGTGAAGACCAACATTTCATTCAGAAAAGTGTCCCCACAGGCCAGCTTGAGTATGGGAGGGATGTCACAGAAGAAGTGGTTGATGAGGTTAGAACCACAGAAGGGCAGAGAGAAAATCTGGCATGTCTGGCCTATTTGGATTGGGATTCCACTGATCCAGGAGCCAGCCACTAGCTGGATACACACCTTGTGGTTCATAACTAGAGGATAGTGCAGAGGGTTACAGATGGCTGCGTAGTGATCATAGGCCATCACGGCCAGAAGGAAGCACTCGGTGGCTCCAAGTGTAAGAATGAAGCACATTTGTGTGGCACAAGCAGCTAGAGAAATCGTTCTTCTTTGTGTCCCAAGACCTGTGAGCATTCTGGGGAGTGTAACAGACACATAACAGATTTCCAAAAGGGAAAAATTGCCAAGGAAAAAATACATGGGGGTCTGGAGACCAGGGTCTAGTTTTGTTATCAGAAATACGATGCCATTGCCCATCAAGATAATTATATAGATGAGTAAGAACAGTCCAAATAAAAACTTCTGGAGATGAGGAACATCAGCAAAGTCCAGGAGAACAAATTCCATCAATTTAGTGAGATTACCTTCTGGTGCTTTTTCTTGATGTTCCATCTGTGAAAAAGGGTAAATGTATTATCTGCTTTTTATTTTCACCATCAGGGATCAGTGCCTGTTTTAGAAATTGTATCAGGGTATCCAGGTTGATTTTCATGATCAATGCAACTGCTTCTAATTTAAGAATTTTATTATGTATGCATTTCCCCTTTCTCAGTTTATAATCCATGTGTTATCACCATACACTCCCCCTTGAGATATCTTTTACAGCATTCTTTCCGAATACAGTCCAAAGTCAAAAAAGCTAGAGTGTCAGTCGTTCAGTCGTGTCTGACTCTCTGACCCCAAGGACAGTAGCCCGCCAGGCCCCTCCGTCCATGGGGTTTCCTAGGCCAGGATACTGGAGTGGGTGGTCATTCCCTTCTCCAGGGAATCTTACCAACCCAGGGATCAAACGCAGGTCTCCTGCATTGCAAGCGGATTCTTTATCGCCTGAACCACCAGGGAAGCCCCGAATGCTCAGCACAGACATTGGACAAACTGATAGTTATTGAAGATAGACCCACGGTGTTGTTATGTGATCTCAGTTTTAAATACTGACATTATTTTGTGGCCATGTTTCACGGTTTGTGGGATCTTAGTACCCCAACCAGAGGTTGAACCTCAGGCTCATGGCAGTGAAAGTACAGAGTCCCAATCATTGGACTGCTAGGGAATTCCCTCAAATATCTACATTTTTTGGACACTTTTATTGTATTTCTCTATGACTTTACATACTTCAGTAGAACTATTAATATAACAGAAATTATCGCCCTTGTATATTTTCAGCTACATATTTCAACTCTTCATTTCCCTCCCATCACTTATGATCTTGATCATACGTGTTCTTATATACAATTCACATTATTAGGCTAGGGATCAGTGCCTGTTTTAGAAATTGTATCAGGGTATCCAGGTTGATTTTCATGATCAATGCAACTGCTTCTAATTTAAGAATTTTATTATGTATGCATTTCCCCTTTCTCAGTTTATAATCCATGTGTTATCACCATACACTCTCCCTTGAAATATCTTTTACAGCATTCTTTCCGAATACAGTCCAAAGTCAAAAAAGCTAGAGTGTCAGTCGTTCAGTCGTGTCTGACTCTCTGACCCCAAGGACGGTAGCCCGCCAGGCCCCTCCGTCCATGGGGTTTCCTAGGCCAGGATACTGGAGTGGGTGGTCATTCCCTTCTCCAGGGAATCTTACCAACCCAGGAATCAAACACAGGTCTCCTGCATTGCAAGCGGATTCTTTATCGCCTGAACCACCAGGGAAGCCCCGAATGCTCAGCACAGACATTGGACAAATTGAAGATAAACCCACAGTGTTGTTACGTGATCTCAGTTTTAAATCCTGACATTATTTTGTGGCCATGTTTCACGGTTTGTGGGATCTTAGTACCCCAACCAGAGTTTGAACCTCAGGCTCATGGCAGTGAAAGTACAGAGTCCCAATCATTGGACTACTAGGGAATTCCCTTAAATAGTTAACATTTTTTGACAATTTTATTGTATTTCTCTATGACTTTACATATATCAGTAGAACTATTAATATAACAGAAATTATCTCCCTTGTATATTTTCAGCTACATATTTCAACTCTTCATTTCCCTCCCATCACTTATGATCTTGATCATACGTGTTCTTATATACAATTCACATTATTAGGCAGTTTACAAAAAACATGAGAGAATATTTTATTTTATTGTACATAGGGGAATAAAATACATATATTTCAGTAAGATGCTATGTGGGGGCTATCAGAGGGTTTTATTCTGGAAAAGTTATGTGGGGATAAATAAAGAGAGAAACAATTCAAAGGGTCACTGTGGGAAAAGAGGGGTCAGCTGGAATGTATTCACTAGCTGTGTAAGACACTTCCTGTAATGCTTTATCCCATGTTCTGTGTGCATCTCTGATGTCTTTGTTGTTCCTCTAATAATAATAATAATAATAATTCAGATAACAGTTTCTAAACTCATTTTTTCTTGAGCTAGGATATTGAGATTTAGCAATGATGGATACATTGCTCATTTGCACATTGGTTTTGTGATTGCAAATCAGTGCCTATTTTTTAAATCATACTTAAGTTTGAATCCTAACTCTGTTATTTATCATTTGTTATATTAAGTAAGTGTTTAAAATTTGTTTGCTTTCTTATTTGAGATAATTAAATATGATATTATTGATAAAATTACCTATCACTTTTAATATGTTTAAGTCATAGTCCTATAATTATAAGTATTAATATGGTATAATGTTCTTAAATCCTTAGTTGCCAGGGTTGTAACACACTCCCTGGAAAAATTGTTTTTGGTAGAGTTATTGAGTTACTTATTGATGATTACTTTTCTCCATTTTTCCCTTTAATCAGGGCCAGGAGTAGGATACGGTCTTACCTAAATAAGGGATGAGACTCCTTTAGTACAGAATCTAAGAGCACACACTCAGTTTCAGGGCTGATTCTGCATTGTGCCGTTGTTAAAATGATTGCCTCCTTCAATATTACACTCCAGGCATCACTTGACTCAACATGAGCCCAGCCCTGCTTCTCAGTTCTCCACCCTTTGTGTTTCAAGATTTTCCACCAAGCACAGTCTAAATATAGTGTCACGGACAAAAAATACAATCCTGACAAGATGGCCTGCAACTGAACCATGGCTTCACTTACCAGCTGTGTGACAAGGCCAAGTGCTTAATCTCCCTGCCCATGGTTCACTTGGCTGAAAAACCGACTTAACGTTGTACTAACAGTTAGCATTGCTACATATATTAGTTCATTTGATACAATAAAGCAACTTAAAATTGTTTTGGCATTCATAGAAAATCTATTTGAAAGCTAGCTATTAGTGTTTTTATTAAAAGCTAAATTTTATTCTAAATTTCACTCTCTGCTTTAACAGTATGAAAAACTGTTCTCTAATTTACCTTGGCTCAGTATCACATGGTTAATGTGGGGATGAAATAAGATATTAAAACAATCATCACAGTTTTATAAAAATCCCAGACTTTTAGATGTGAATTCTCCACTAAATTTCTGCCAATAATTTAACAATATTATCACCTCTACTCTAGAACTAATAGGGAGAGCGTACATGACTTTGTAGCACATGATGTTGCAATTTGGCTAATTCCTTTCATATACTTTTTTTCTTTCCCACTGATATTACATGATCTGGGATCTAAGGACTGAGATCTAGGAAAGTAGCTATTGCATGGTCTAGGAAAATAGTCCTAGTTTTCCTGCTTGGAAGCAATATAGATCTCAGAAAATGCTTCTTTACTTAACATATTGTTCATTATTTGATTCTGAAATTGAGTAAAGGAATAGACACTTTTAATTTAAAATTGTCAATCTTAAAAGTGAGGAAAAATTATTATACAAAAGAGTAGAATTGCAATCTTTATCATTTTTATGAATAAAATCATTAGCATATCACTCATTACCTGAATAAAATTATTTCTAGTACTATATAAAATATAATTTCTAATTGTACAGATATGACATTTTGGTGATGAAATCTTGTATAACATGAAACAGGTAAGATTTGAGTTTGAATTTCTCAATAGTAAAACAAAATATGCTTCAAAGATGTTTGTATATTTGATAAAAATTGGTAACCCAATTCTTGAAAATAATTTAAAAACATTGTTGAAACTAAAGCTATCTTTATTATTTTATAAATCCTGAATTCTATAATTTTTTCAAAATAATTGTTCTTTGAATTCCAATGGTTAAAACTTTATTTTATGTATTACTTTCTTTTAAATCTCTTATTATAATATCAAACTGAATAGACTTGTAACCTTTTTTTGTTACAATATGTGGGCTCAAGTGAAGTTTTCTTTAATACTACCTATACCTAGACTTAAGTTATTACATTTTTTGGCATTTCAAAGTGACTTAATATCATTTTTTATTATAATTATTTGATTGCAAATTTTATTTAATAAAATCAGAAATATATAGATGTTGCTTTAATGAACAAAAATATTTGCTACCATGTGTAAAATCAATAATTTACACATTAAAAATCTGTGTGCATGATTAATTTTAAATTTAAAATAAGAATTACGCCTTACTATCATTTTCATATTTACCTTTCTTACTTGAAATGTTGCTGATTTTTCTCACTAGAGAGGCTTTGAATATTTACTGTAAGTGGAATTACTTGTTTCATCAAAGTAATTCAACTGGCCTTTAAATATTCTATTCTTTCTAAACATAAAGTGCTCTTAAATAAAAGTAGTTATCACTACTCAAGGGATCTCTGCAACTTGGCACATTTAAATTTCTAATTAAAATCATCACTCTTTGAATTATCTGATTTGTTGTATTTTTTTTAATTCTTCCCAGAAAGCTCTCAGTACTCAGAATATTTTTTTTTTCTTCAGCCTCTCTAGGGAATAGAGGACACAGTGCATTTTATTTCTCAGATGTGAACAGGGTGCTAAGTAATACTATTTGTGGGCTTCCCAGGCGGTACAGTTGGTAAACGATTGGCCTGCCAATGCAAGAGATGCAAGAGATACAGGTTTGACCCCTGGGTCATGAAATTCACCATGGAGTAAGAAATGACAACCCACTCCAGAATCCTTGCCTGGAGAATTCCATGGACAGAGGAGCCTCGTGGGCTCCAGAGTCGGACACGACTGAACACACACACACACACACACACACACACACACAATATTATTTGGGTTGATCAAATAGACACAGATTCAATTCTTACCTTAACTGTTCATCGTAGCAGGAGAAAGGTTAATTGTAGTAGGAGAAAATTTTTCCTCTCTTTTGCAGCCTACCACCAATTTTTCCCAATCTTACTTTACATCTTCAAGATGTGAATACTTTCAGCCTCTAGTTACAATAAAATGAGAATCTGGAATAAGTCTAGCTGAGACCATGGGAAAGATGCTAAGCAAAATGTTTGTGAGTTATATGTTTCAAAAGTGGAGAAATTTCTCCAACATAAAGATTGTTTAAAAATCTTGGCTTAGAGCCAGTTTCTCATGACCCCAAAAATTGGATGTTGTTTCTGATTAGTAAAGAGTGATTTCTTAAGGTTTAGGATTATGAAGAGAAAATATTTACCAGAGAGGGAACACATAGTCATGTGACAGTGGGAGTGATCCGGAAGGTTAATTAAAGAGCACCAGGAGCCCTGTGGCGCAGATCTTGAGCAGCGGGGGGTGGGACAGGCTTCTCACGGGGACCGGATGTGGCGAAGGACAGGAAGGAAGTGAGAGGCCAGCCAGGCTGGATCCTGCAGGGGCTCCCCCAGGACTCAGCCCGTGCTGGGAAGGAGTCACAAGGCCTGTGGCTCACCGGAGCGCGTGTGACGCACGGGCTTGTCAGGCGGCTCCGGGTGAAGAGTCTGCCTCCCGGGCGGGAGAGGCCGGCGGAGCCGGGAGGGCTGTCGTCCCCGGGGTCGCAGAGTCGGACCCCGCGGAATGACTGAGCGCAGCGCAGCATCATGCACAGATAAAGACCTGCTGCTGGAGTAGAACAGAAACTCCAGAAGAGGCTCAAATACACACGAAAATCTGTCACTGACTGAAAATAGCCTACCAAAGGTAAAGCGTGGACATTTAAAATAACTGTCGTTCGGACAACTGGGCAGACTTAGAGGGGAAAAAAAAACCAAACCAGTATATGTATTTTTGATAACTATCCCACAGCAGAATAAACTCCAAATGATACACAATTTTGTATATTTTAGAGTGAAATGATGAAAGTCTTCTAAGAAATTATAAAAAGAGGTTTTATAATTTTGGAGTAATGAAAGTTTTTTTTTCCATTTATCTTTATTAGTTGGAGGTCAATTACCCTACAATATTGTAGTTGTTTTTGCCACACATTGGCACGAATCAGTCATGGACCTACATGTATTCCCCATCCTGATCCCCTGTTCCAACCCCCTCTCCACCCGATCCCTCTGGGTCTTCCCAGTGCACCAGGCTTGAGCACTTGTCTCATGCATCCAACCTGGGCTTCTTCTTTAATACAGAGGAAAAGTCCAAAGTATAAATTTAAAAAACGGGTAAAACAGATGAATTAACAATTCACAGAAGAAAATTTTTCTTAAAACAGCTTCATTAGTTAAAAAAAAAAAGTAAATTGTAATCTGAACAATGATACAGTATTAAAAACTGAGACATTTTCCTCTGTGCTGTGTATGTGTGGGGAGGAATATCTAATCAACCAGTATCACAACTGTGCTCACCCTTTGAACTAATCAGTGAGCATGTGCACATACTGAGATATGCAATAGCATGATTTTGCAACAAATCTGTGTCTTGAAAAAGTATGACTATTTTATGACTTAATGAGCCTTGATTTTGATAGTCATCTATTCTTTTTTCTCCCACAGTTATATGATACCTTTAAAATATGTTCTATAATTTCTCAAAAGTTTCTAGTGCTTGAATCTAGACTGGCTTGTTGTGACCCAGTGCCTCTTAACCACAAATGAAAGTTATTTTTTGTTGTTGTTTTAGAGGTTGGAAAATTAAACCTGGCTTTAAGTATGTCCTTTTATAAAGATGTTGATTTATTTTTCAAAGCAATTCAGTGGCATCACCAGTTTTGAATCATATTTTTGTTGCTTGATTACTACTTTTTTATAATAAAAGGAAATTTATTTTTCTGAATTAGTTTCAGAAAAAATAGAAGCATAGCCAAAAATAAGAAAGAGTATTATGCTTTTTTCCATAATAGAATTTGCTCATTAAATAAAATTTAAGAAATAGAGGAAATTATGTATATACATATGGTAAATGGTGTTCTAAACACGGCTTTTTAGCTTAACAAGAAGGATATGTACAGGATGATTATGATTTGGTTTGCTTAAAAATATGCTTAATACATGTTGTACGTAATTGAATTTTATTCATTTCTATAACTGTTTGGTTTTCCTCTGTGTGAAATTGTCACAATTACGTTCGATTCTAGTTTGATAAAGATTTAACATTACGAATGATTCAAAATGAGCATTCTCGGATGCGTCCTTTGACACACATGTGCACACATTTCTTCTGGTGCGTGGCTAAGGGTAAGATTTTCTTGATGAAGGCAGGCTTTGGCCAATACGCTGTACAATTCACACCCCAGCATCAGGTGAGAGCTTTCATTACTCCACACCCTTTACGTATGTGATGGGGTGAGTCTTTTTGTTTATTTTATTCTTGTAATGAATGTGTCATAGAGTTCATTTGGTTTTAATCTGGTTTTAATTTGCATTTACTGGTTGCTAATGAGTTATTTTCTTCTTTTTTTCTGGGCATTTAGATTAGTCTCTTTTGAAATGCATCTTTAAGTCTATTGTCAATTTTTCTCCTGAATTTTTGATGCTTTTGATTTAGAGCACTCCTTTAACAACAGTGTATTTAAACATTCTATGTTGAAAAATTTCACTCTGAATATCAGTATTTCTTAGTCCAGGAAGTTCAACTGATTAATGTTTACATTATGACTCATAACTTTATCAAAAACACTTTTCTTGCACCAACATCATGAAGTTAATAAACATTATCTTGGAAAAGATTCATTGTTATGCATTTTTACTTAAGTTTACAAATTATCTGAGATTACATTTTAAAATAAATTTTGTGAAGTGAGGGTTAAGCTCTCTTTTTTTGTACCATTATATATATTTAAATTAATAGAGTTTATTAAAAGACCATCTTTTTTTTTTCTGCAGTATGAACTTTTGCTTATTCAAGTGTGCCCATGTTCTATAGTCATTCAACAAGTATTCTCTAAAGCTTTCCATATGCAGTAATCTTTCCTAGCTGAAATCTTTTGGTTTTAAGTAAATTATAACAATATAGAGGAAGACAAACTGGAATATACATTATGAATTTTGGATAAAAATATTAGGAGGCCAATTGCTAGATAAAATATACTATATTGTTTTAGCACTTTGGCCACCTGATGCAGAGAGCCAACTCAATGTAAAAGGCCCTGATGTTAGTAAAGATAACGGCTAAAAGGAGAAGGAGACAGCAGAGATGAGGTGGCTGGATATTAATAGTGTCGCTGACTCAATAGACATGAATCTGAGCAAATTCTGAGACACAGTGGAGGACTGAGGAGCCTGGCACGCTACGGTCCATGAAGACAGAGTCGGACATGAATTACCAACTGAACAACTACAAATCAAGTAAGCAGCAAATTTTTGCTGACAGAGACTAGTCCATTAAATATGAGATCAGCAAAAAAATGAATTTCTTATAAATAGAAACACTAGGGAGATAATCCTGACATCAGAAAGTCAAGCATAAAATGGCAAGATCATGAGGATAACCAATTTATATTAATGCAGGAAGCAAAATTCCAAATAATGTCTGATTAAAACAATAGCAGAACTAAGTGGGGAAAAAGAGCACTAGCTCAAGGCAGTGGATAAGACGTTAAACATTAAAGCAGTCATTTTCTCAAGGCTATCATGACAGCCTTATTCCTCAGAGTATATATCATGGGATTAAACATCAGGGTAATACGGTATAGAAAGCAGAAAGAAAAAAGTCTTTCCTGTAAAAATGTTTGGAATCATGTCATAAGTATGTAATGTTTCTGGGTCCACAAAATAAAGGCACAACTATGGGGCTTCCCAGGTGGTGCTAATGGTAAAGAACTTACCTGCCAATGCAGGAGACATAAAAGACACAGGTTCGATCCTTGGGTAGGGAAGATCCCCTGGAGAGGGGCACAGTGACCCATTCCAGTGTTCTTGCCTGGAGAATCCCATGGACAGAGGAGCCTGGTGGGCTACGGTCTACAAAGCTGCAGAGAGTCGGACACAACCAAAGCAACTTAGTTCACACGCGTTATATGAACTGGGCAGGTGGAGAAAACTTTGGCTCATTCCGTTGCTGATGGCAAACATAGGAATGAGAAGTGATTTTACTGTAGAAGCCAAGTTTCAACTGAAAGGGGATCATGACAAACAGCACGCTAATGGCGCAACTGGAGAGATTGACGTCTCACTCTAGAAAACATCGCCACAGGTCAGCTTGCAGTTAGAACCAAAAAATGACAGAGAGAAAATCTGGCATGTTTGCCCTATCCTGGCTGTGACACCACTGATTCAAGACCCAAGAATCATTAGTTGAATACAGAGCTCCTGGTTTATAACCAGAAGTTACGGAAAGTTACATTTGGCCACATAGCAGTCATGGGCCATAACTGTGAAGACCAAGTATTCTACATTCCCAAGAACAGAAATAAAATAAATAAAATGAAATATATCTTTGTAGTGCAGGCAAATATATATATATGTATATATATATTTTCTGACTGGGAAAATTTATGAATATTCTAGAAAAAGTGATAGGTACATAACAGATTTCCAGGAAGGAAAAGTTACTGAGGGAAAAATACATGGGAATTTGAGAGCCTGGTCAACTCATTAGGAGAGTATTGGTGTTGCTTCTCACCAGGATAATCACATATAAAAGAAAAATATTACATAAAGAAACACCCAGATTGGGAACACAGAAAAATCCTCAAATAACCAATGTGATCACTGAAGTGAGATGTGCTCCTGGGTTTTGTATGTGTGTGTGTGTTTGATGTTCTCTCTGTGAAAAGAGTGAAATCAGTCATTTTAATTTTTGTATAGCTATATATAAATATATATTTGCTGTTGTTCAGTCTTCCAGTCGTGTCCAACTCTTCATGACCCTATGGACTGCAGCACTCCAGGCCACCCTCTAGCTCACCATCTGCCGGAGTTTGCCCAAGTTCATGTCCATGCATCCGTGATGCCATTCAGCCATCTCACCTGATGCCCTTTTCTACCTTCAATCTTTCCCAGCATCAGGGTCTTTTCTAATGTGTCAGCTGTTTATATCGGGTGGCCAAAGTATTGGAGCTTCAGCTTCAGCATCAGTCCTTCCAATGAATATTGAAATACATATGTTTATATTATATAAAATATATATTATACATATGGAAGAGTGCCTATGTACATATATATCCATTTCATAATTGTATTTCTATTTGTAACTATTATTAAAACTATCATAGTCCTTTTTTAAAAGAAATGATCAAATATTATATAGTTTGATTTTGTTTAGTTCAAAAAAATGTTATTTATTTCAAATATCAAAGATTATTTGGCTGATATTAAAATTACACTGTTAGCTACTAAATATTCTGTAAAATGTTGGGAGGCAATAAGAAAAGAAGATATGCAGTAATTTTCTTCCACATGTATTTTTTATTGTCTGAATAAAATTTATGATTTTTGTGATGTGCA